CGCCGCCCTCCCCTCCCCCCAACGCCTGCCTCCTCCTCCTCCGACCGGCGGCCAGCTTCGCCGCCTGCAGCGACCTCCGCCGCGCCGACCTCTCCCGCCAGAGGCTGCGTCGCGCGGACCTCTCCTAGGAGGTGTCTGGGAAGTGTCTAGGAAGTGTCTAGGAAGTGTCTAGGCTGCGTCGCGCGGACCTCTCGAGCGTCGACCTCTCGATGGCCCTGCTGCTCAAGGCCGACCTGCGCGAGTGCCTCTTCCAGCACGCGACCTGCCTCGCTGCGCGCTTCGACGGGGCGTGGGCGCAGGGCGCGGACTTTGGGTGGGCGGACCTCCGCAACTCCTCCTTCCGAGGCGCCAGCCTCGCCGAGTCCTCCTTCGGCGCAGCCGAGCTCGCGAGGGCAGACTTCCGACCTCAGCGCCTCTTCACACCTGCAGCTGTGAACAGGCGAGTCCAAGCTCGCGAGGGCAGACTTCCGAGGCGCCGACCTGAGCGGGTCGACGTTCGGAGGCCAGTGGGGCGCACCCGACCTCGTGGCTGAGGCGGTGCGCTTCGACAACGCGAAGCTGAGCGAGGCGATCATGACCAACGGCCGCTTCCCCGCCGCCTCCTTCGTCGACGCGGACCTCCGCGGCGTCGCCATCGATGACGTGTACCTGCACGCCGCCGACCTGCGCCGCGCCGCCTTCTCGGGCAGCGGCATTCTCTTCGCGACGGGCGTCCCTCCCGCCTCCCTCACCGACACGGTGCTCACCAGCGCAGACCTCTCCTTCGCCACCCTCGACGGCGTCTCCATCGACCACACGCGACTGGACGAGGCCACCCTGACTCGTGGGGCGTGGAGAGGGGGTCAGATCTTGGAAGTAAGGCTGCCTACTACCATTAGGCGAACCTCACCAACGCCTCGCTGCACCGCGCCGAGATGAAGGGGTTCTCGACACTCGACCGCGCCGAGGCGCGCAACGCCTCCTTCGAGATGGCGAGCCTCGAGCACACCTCCTTTGTCCAGGCCAAGCTGCAGGGCGCGAGCTTCCGCTACAGCGACGTCACGGGCTGTGACTTCACCGGCGCCGACATCGGCGGGGCGGACTTCACTGGCGCGCGGGGCCTCCACCCCTCCATGTTCCTCCGCGCGACGGGCACGCCCGTGCCTCCGGACTGCTGCGGGAGGCGGGCGCCCGTGTGACGCGCACGATGTTCGGCACGTGCGACGTGGAACGGCTAGAGTAAACTCTAACTCAGGAGTATAGAGGGAAATAAATAAATACTAAATAAAAACGCTAAACGGACACCTCTACTGTGAGATGGGTAAAAAGGAACAGGTCCCCGCCCGTGCGATCTCTGTGCAGGGTTCTCTTACTTCTTTGTGGGGTGTGGCTGTGGGGACGGAGAGTTGCGGAAGGATTTTTTTTGACATTTGAGCGCGTTGTTAATAATACAAACGGATGGTCACTTGCCGCAGTCAGATCACACGCACAAACACACACCCCGCACCGCACGCCCCGCGCCCTTACACCCACCGCGCCCCGCCTAGGAGCTAGGTGGGAAAGAGACGGAGGAGATGGAGCAAGCCCGAGGAAGAAGCCTCAATCACGTATGGGAGGTAAAGCTAAAGGTGACGGCGTCACGCTGCCCGGCTTCCCGGGACGAGGCAGGAAGGTGAACGACTGTGGACTGACCCCATACGGCTTTACACGTACCGCCTCGCCGACCGCCCATCCCCCCTCCCCTACTCCAACCTCGACGAGCCGACGAGCCGTTGAGTCTCTGTCCTTGCGCGCCCCCGCGCCCTCCGCCGCCCCGCACTGACACACACCTCACACGCAGATAGACAAACCCGGCGTTCTGCTCTCAAAGGAAACAAAACTACCTCGCACGACACTGGATGGGACTGGCGCAAAAAAGAAAAAATCGGAAGGAGGAGACCAGGGGGAGACTCCCCGCCTATGCAGCACCCCAGAAAGGGG